CCACCTTTTTTTTATTATTGAATTGATTTTGTTTTTTGTCATTGACAGTACCTCTAACCAATTGAAAATAATTGTAAACAATACTTGATGACCTTGGTTCTTTTCTTTCAATTTAACTTTAAGACCTTGATCCTTTTAGTTAGTTCATTTAACTTTACCTTTTGTATAGAATTCCAGGATTTGGATTTTTTTCATTAGCTTATTTGAGTTTTCCATCTTTCTTCAATTCTCTCAACTCAAGCCTCGTCCCAACTACATGGGTTACAAGTAGAGGAAAAAACCTTATATCCACCTTAGTTTATAGTTAGATAGATAGATTGATTGATACATTTTCTTGTAAAAAGCTATAGCTACAATACCTTTTAGCTTCTTCTCTTCTTGCCAATTGATATTAAGGTTTCAACTCTTAACTATCTAATTTTCTTATCTTCTTTGTCAACAATTAGAGTTTTCTTGTTCTTATTAGTGTTTGATGGGTCAAGGCAATCCAATTAGGATCAATAGAAGGAAATCTCAAAATGAAAACTACAAGCAACCCGTCTTGCCATTGCCATTATTTCAGTTCATAGACCATTCATTCCATAGAGCTTCAATCATGGCACATAGCATTTTATTTTAAGATTTCAGCTATGAGATTCTATCATTTAAAACTTTAGGCTTTGAGACTTCTCAATTCAAGTCTCCAACTTTAAGGTTTTGCATTTCATTTTAAAAAATATTGTGTTTTATTTTTTATTTGATATAAATAAAATTAATAATGATATATTGTCTTCTTTGATTCTTTTATCTTTCAAATTTTTCAAGGACTGAGTTCAATGTTGTGGTTATTTTAAATTTTTGCAAATGTTTATCACTCTATTATATAGTTTAAAGCTTTAATACCATTAATGTGATTATGAATTTCAGATTTTTTTTTTTTGCAATTATATAGGGAATAGGGTGTGAGATTGATTGGTTCATTGATAACACTTGATTATTATTTTTAATTAAACATACAACTTTTTATTCATTAGATGTCAAGTATGGGTGATAATAATACAATGGCATAGTCAAAGTATCTATCATCTACTTAATGGTACAAGCACAAACCTTTCTCCTATACCTCCAAGTAATGTTGATAACTCGTCAAATCCACTTATTCTAGAGATTAATTCAAAGATTAGCATCTCTTCTACTTCTAAGTAAAAAACTTGGGTGTGGGATCACCTTCACTAGGATGGATTGTAAGGTTAAAAGTGATCAAAGAGCAATGTGTAACAGAATCAAACTTTCAGATCTTTAGGGCAGCTCTACACATCACCTTTGTTAGAGCCTTTTTTCGATGTACCAAAAAAAAAAAAGAAAAGAAAATAGTATTGTGTAACTATTGTGGTAAGGACTTAGTTTGTCCTACTATAGGTGGTACTAGTTTGATTAATCATTTGTTTAAATGTAAGGAGTATCCTCTTAATGTGGACAAGAGACAAAAAAAAAACCTTGGAGTCTTCATATTAAAATGCAAAAAAGAGAGCACCACACACTATCACTTGTACCTTACAAGTTTGACCAAGAAAATTGTATAAAGGCATTTACTATGATGGTTATTTTAGATGAATTGCCCTTTAAGCATGTGGAATGGGAGGGATTTCATGGCTTTTGTGGCATGACACAACCATGATTTATAGTTTCTTCACACCACGCTGTAATTAGGGATTATTATTATCTCTATAGGGAGAAGAGGAAATTGAAGAAGTATTTTAAAAATTTTCCATCGAGGGTCTGCCTTACTACCAATACATGGACATCATGTCAAAATTATAATTTTAAAAAATTATAATTTTTGTCCAATTTTGAAACATTCAAGAGAAATGTTTGGCAAAGCTATTGGATATACTTGTTTGATTAGGGCATTAAAAGGGTTTTCACTATAACAATAGATAATGCAAACTCAAATGATATATGGATTCAATATGTAGAAAAGGAGATTCAATAATTTGAAGGGAAGTGTCTTAAAGAGTGAGTTCTTAGATACGAGATGTGGTGCACATATTTTGAGTCTAATTGTAAGAGAGGGATTGTTATAATTGGATGCTTTTATTTTTAGGATTCATTATACAGTAAAATAATGCAAGGTTTTCTCCAATATGATCGCAAAGGTTTAAGGATTGTGTAGAAAAAGAAAAGATAGTGAGTAGAGTCTTGTTTATCTAGATGTTGAAACTAGAGAAAACTCTACTTACTTGATATTGGAATATGTTTTAAAATTCTAGAAGGTATTTAATTTGTTGAAAAGTATTGATAGTATGTAAAGGATCTTACTAATTCTAAAAATAAGGTTTGCCTAATGATGATTAGGAATAGGCCCGGCTTTGTTGCCTTTTTTTTTTTTAATTTTCTATAGAACTGCATTAAAATTATCTTGCTCACCTTATGCCATTAGAAATGTATATGTGAAAAAAAAATTATAGTATTAGGATTGTTATTTTATAGAAGGTATAGTAATGATGATTTTAGTGTTAATTTTATATCTTCCAAGATAAAAATTTTGAAAAGTATTGGGAAAATGTGAATAATATCAATATCATGTTGCTCATTGTGATAATTCTTAATATAAATTGGAATACATGGATTGGGTTATTAGTGAATCATATGATGTTGGTAATGCTCAAATGTTGAAAGATAAGGTGAAACAAGTTTTGGTTTCCATGTTTAAGTTTTATAGTTCAACCCAATCATTTCATAATGCTCAATCAACTAATCAATCTCAAAACACAAATGAAATGGAAGTTGATAGTGTGAAAGATGTTGATTTTATGAATACACTATATAAAAAGCAAAAGGCAAGCCAATGTGTAAATAACAAAATAGAATTTTATAGATAATTAGGGAAGGAATGTGAAGATCCGAAAATAAATAAATTATTTAAAATATTGAGTTGGTGGAAAATTAATTTCTGTAGATATCAAGTGCTTTATTTTGTTGACTCAGGATTTATTAGTTATACTCATATCTATAATTGCATCCGAGATAACTTTTGGAACTAGAAGCCACGTGCTTGATTCATTTCGTAGTTCTTTAACTCTAAAAATGGTGTAAGCTAGCATTTGTGGACAAGATTGGTTACAAAAATCACATGGTTATCTATGTTCATATAGAGGAGAGTTTAGATGAACTTGAAAATACAAAATTAAGTTTTATGTTTTCTATTTTTTTTTTGTTCATGTTTATTTCATTATAGTAATGTTAATTTACATTTGTCTTAATCTATTTTGTATGGATATCATCTATCACTGAGAAAGATCATTTTGTTAATATTGATGATTGAGTGTTGACGTCAAGAATCAAGAAATCGAAATAACTTTTGTTGAATGGACTCTTGTTGAAGGCTGATGTAGGACTTAAACTTTTGTATTATGTTATTTTAATAATACCATGGATGATGTTGAACTTTTACAACATTTATTTTATGGCAATTAAAGATTGATTAGTTTATCATAATATAGATTGATTGGTTTATTGGTTAGTGGTTGCCAATTTTATGATACAAGTTGAACGGTTACCACTAGGTTTATTGGTTACAACTTTCATGATATTGGTTTATTATTAAATGTACAAGTGAATCGATTAATGAATATGTAGGTTTATTGGTTTTGAGTTAGATTGGTTAATGGATATATATATATATATATATATATAGAGAGAGAGAGAGAGAGAGAGAGAGAATAGATGTAAAGGTTGGTTTTTTTTAATAATAGATGTATCATGTATAGATTGATTGTTTAATGGTTAATGGATTGGTTAATTCCTTAACAGATTTGCAAGATCATTGGTTTTGGGTGGATATTGCTTATTAGATGTATAGGTTGATTTTTTTTTTTTTATGATAGATGTAGAAATTATCTTGATTCAGGTTGATTGTTTAATAGTTAATGATGGTTAATGGTGGTTAACGGATAGATTTATTGGTTTTGGCTGGATTAGTTAATGGATGTACAGGTTAATTGTTTTCGCTGTTTTGGAAGGGGAAATGGATGTACAGGTTAGATTGTTTTTGCTATTTTTGGAAGGGGAAATGGATGTACAGGTTAGATTGTTTTTTGCTATTTTTGGAAGGGGAAATGGATGTACAGGTTAGATTGTTTTTGCTACTTTTGGAAGGGGATATGGATGTACAGGTTGATTGGTTAATGGATATAGACATTAGATGTATAGGCTATCTTGTATTCTTGATCCAGGATAATCGTTTAATGGTGGATTGGTTGTTTTTGTTTTGATAGATGAGTTTTTTTTTTTTTTCGGTTATTAGGCTATAGAAATCCTTTCTTTACTATTTTGGAAGGGGAAGATTTTTTTTGAATGAAAATTACAATATAAAAAAAAATTGAAAAACCAAAGAGCAGTTAACCAGTGAACCAACTAGAATTAACCACTTATTTCGGTTCAGTTTCGGTTGTAAGTAATGGAAAATAGGTGATACCGGTTTGGTTTTTAACCAAGCCATGAGCACCCCTGGACCAGAACAACTAAAGTCTGTAAGATGTGGATATTACGAGGTCTAACATGAATCAGATCAGCTATAGAGGTTAGTTTTTGGATTGGGTGTGGTTTCAGGAGTCCAAATCCAAATTGGCAGGAGACAAACACTGGGCTGAGCACGAGGTTCAAAGTATCAACCCGTATCATTCCGAGACCCTTCTGATACGTCTCTACAGTGGATGTATCGAGGGTCTGATCGGTTCAGGGGGTGGAAGAGCCCTAAACCAGCCCCCCTAACTAGTTTCGGAAAAAAAAATAAAAGAAAGTAAAAAAACAAGATATCGATTCTCCCAATACGCCCCTACTGGCATATCGATATTTTGAACCTTGGCTGGGCAAGATAGTACAAGTGAATATCTTAGTGTTCCTTACACAAGATGTGGGTTCCATACTGGCCCAGCCCAGTATGTGCATCATTTTATTCCAGCTTTCTAGGGTTGATTAATTCTTAAAATCGGTATAATTTGACACAGAACCACAGGAGCTGCACTTTCTAGGTCCATTGATGGATTAATATTCCCGTCATTGCACACACCCTACAATGAATATGGCTTTGAACAGAATGAAATGGCGAAATAGGATTCATGTAACCAACCCCATGAAATTGAGATAAGGCTTTGGATGATGACAACACCCTAATATGAAAGCAACAAACTCAGAATTATGCTTTCACTGCCTGTAGGGAAAAAAAAAAATCCACAACTGCAGACCCAAAGGAATGCCAACATTGTACATTTCTCATTACCCGTTGCCTTCATCTTTGTGAATGCATGGAATAATCCATGAATATTGGGAAATGAGTCTTAATTTCCTCGCGAGTGACGTATTGGGAGAGCAGTTCTTTTCAAACTTTGGACGAACAACTCCTGGCAGCATTTCTTCTTGCACAGCATCCCACAAAGTAGATCATTGACTAATAACATAGAACAAAAGAAATGTCAGTGATCAATACTACAAGTCAAGAGAAACCATATGTATTGGCAATTCAATTGCCGAGACTGGAGGATCACAAGTCTTAACGGTTTAACTGTTTGGACTGATTGCTTGACCGACTCAAAGAAAAAATGTGAATATTATGAAAAATAACGAAGACAGGATGATACAATTCTACAACAAGTTATAGGTAGGATGGTTGTGTATTGACGTTAGGCCATGGCAAGTGTTGGGGTTATAATGGTAAAGTTAGCATCTGGTAGCATGATTTCAGAAACTAGTTTTGGGACTAGGTCACAGACTTGACGGTTTAACCAACAATTCTAGTCTGGGTCTGACAAAACTGAACATATGAATGGACACTTCTTACCATGTAATGCAGTATAAAAGAAAAGGAAAGAAACCATGAAGAAAAAAATCAATTTTTTCCAATTCTTCAACTGGTGGCAATTTCATATTTTTTGGATGTTTTTTATTTTAATCAATGGTGAGTCTTTTAGTAGCCATTTTCCGATTTATCTGTGTTTTAGGAATAGGACTAATCATCTTAAAAGGAAAAGATGGTCTGTAGAGTCTTATTATAGAATTTTTAGAAATTTTGAAAAATTGAAGATGCAATTTCGGCATTTTTTCTTTTAGTAAAATTTTCAGGTGTCAAAACCTGGTCCATTTAATATGATTTTATCATCATTATATGTTACCTATCCATCAAGAGTCGAGACCAAGTTTTTTACAAATCCAATGTGTTTCGATGAAGTTATAACTTAAAACCATTTTAGTGATAGATGTCAATGTAATATGGGAATTATGTCTTATTTGAATGTCCCTATGCGTTTGCCATGGCTTAAAGCAGTTACAAGTTGTTTTGGATAATCCTAGATCACCATGTCATCCCGATGAGAAGATCATGATACATGGAGAAAACAGTAAAGATATAAAGTCATTCCTGCTAAGCTGGTAGCTTGGGAGATTAACTAGGAGGCGAAAGATGGTCTGAGATTTGTTGCCTGCAGTGGATTTTGGGTGTGTTTGGGCTGAGAGAAATGTCCAGATCCTTGAGCAAAGAAGTACCAGTGAGCAGGATGTTTTGGGAAAAATCAAAGGAAAGTTATGTTCTTGGTTATCCACACAGGGAGTTTTGTTTTCTTGTTAATATCTTGCTAACAGAATGGATTCGGTCCCATGCACAGTATTAGTATTTTACAGGGCTAACTATTGTATTCTCACTTTCTGATAGCAATAATACAACACGTTACCTTTTAAAATAATGATAGCTAGATGGAGAAAATATAAATTTCTGTACTCAATTTTAAAAGGTGATTGGATATTCTGTAACCCTCTAACTTTCTTATTCTCCCTATAACATGTCTAACCCTTAATCTAAAGCCAGCAGTTTTTCACGAGTTGAATGCATTTCAACATGAAATTTATTGATGGCATGATGGTAGTTCCAGTCATTAAGCAAGGGGACTCAAATCAGTTTGACCCATCTGAAACTATAAAGTTTTAAATGTTAATAATTTATTTTGGATTGTTAAGACTTTTTTCTTATGACTCTACTTCTATGAAAAAACTAAAGGTACCAAGTCCTTACCAAGACAACAAACAGAATCACATTAAAGATCGCAACCACTCTCCATTCAGTTTTCATGTATTGCGCAACTCCAGCCCTAAAATGATCATTGAAGAAAAACTCATAATTGAGTGAAATACTACACAAAAATAAGAAAAAAAATCGCAATTCCTTTTCCCCTTCTTACTTGCAAGAATCACAACTGTAACACCTTATGGCTCGGGAGTTTTTGTAGAGTTTGCAGTCATTGTTAGAACTAACCGGATGAAAACTCAAGTCATAATATGAAGCATTTACAGCAGGGTAGCCACACCTGAAAAGTGTAATAAGAAATTCAACCAGAGCACTGCCATTCATATGTGGTAAACATACATTTACCACAAACATGGTAAATGGTAAACTAATGGAGAAAGTTTATCTAAACACCAACTCAGGCATTTAGGAATATGCAAGATTCATACTCAGATGGTGGTCGACAACAACCAGCCTCAATAGGGGTGAGTTTTGCCATTTTGTACTGTTTAAGAGTCTGCACGGAAGTTACCAAAATGTGAAAATGGAACAAGGCATATTAATGTTGGATATTGAATTGGAGACGGTTAACAAAAAGAAAAAGACTTGGAAGAAGAAACCACATTGGAACAGTGACCTTATATTTCTTGGAGAGATTATTACAGTCTTCAGATTTCACAAGACAGGTCTTCAATTGCTCCCAGTTCCGTGTGTTATTCAACTACAAACAGAACCACAATGCAGGATATTAAACTAGATAAGATTTTGCATGCAAGCATCAATTCTTCAGATTGCTAATATCAAGAAAAATGTCTTACTTCTTTCAAAAACCAAGAACTGTAATCTTGAAGTTGATACTCCTTGTACCTGAACAGATAATCAGACAAAAGAAGGTTGGTCGAATTACTGAATGCCTTGCATTTATTTATGGTGCCTTGCCCATAACTGATGTGTACCCAATGAATAATATGAATACAGTATTCAATTCAAAACATGGTCTGGCTTTACTCATGGCAAACCTACTAAGTTGCAAGTCTTTATTGTACTTTTTCTTTTTCTGGAGGGGGTTACTCATCTCTTTTCTTCTTTTTCTTATTTTTATTTTAACATAGGCTATGCCCCCTTCACTATTAATTTATTCTTCCCCCTTTTTTTGTCTAGAACTTCATTATAATGTTGGAATACATAATACAGCAAGGGTTCTAGTCTAATTATAAAGGAATTATAACGCTCAACCTTTAACTTTATGGTCATATGAAATGGCATGTACTCTTACCGAATACCAGCTTTGGAATGACCAGATCCATTATTTGTTACAATGAACCTATAAGCACAAGAGAATCAGATTTTAGCATTTATTCATGCAGCATACCCTGAAATGAAATGCATCATTGATAGTGATACAACTTGATCTGGTTGGGTCAGGTTTAGGACCAACTTGACCAACCAGGGAACTCAAAAATCTAGACCTCAGGCGCAGGCCTGTTCCAACCTGAGGTCAAATCCCAAGTTTGCCAACCCAAAGCCAACCAAGTTAAACCCAATACAACTCAGACTGGGCTCGGTTTTGTCCAGGCCTGGGCAGGTGGCTCAGGTTTGGAAGGTTTCTTGTCATGTTTTTGCACGTTTACTTTTATGTGGGTTATACAATCAAATTTATAAATAAGAAATAAAAAAAGTACAATGCCATTACATAATGCACATATATTCTATGAATACATGCATACATATATGTAGTTGAAAAAACGAAACATATATAATATGCGTGTACATGTTTGTGCATGATAGTGAGGCTGGGTTAATCATGTACATATTGTAAATATGCTAGATAATGCAAATAATAGTTTAAATACATAATGTATATACATATATACATATCATAAATACACAATATGCATACATGCATGGATAAATATATTATGGAAGGTTAGGTAGGCTCAGGCTACACGAGGCCTCAACCTAATTCCAATCCAAGTTTTTGGTAAAACCCAAGCTTTCAGGCCCAACCCAAAGCCCAAAAATTCAAGAAACCCTAGCAAAAGCTCAGGCTGGGTCAGCCTGGACCTAGGTCGGGCCCATCCAATTGCAGCCCTAATCATTGATAGTTTTTGTCCAATATATATATATATATACACACACACACAAAATCTTTAACTATCTTGCCGCAGTCAAATCTTACAGTACACAATATATGTATTTAAGTGTTAGGGGTTGTTGGTGGAGGCTGAAATGGCTGAACTGAATGACTTATTGCTTTGTCCTGTAGTAGATAAAAAAAAAATAGATAATAAAACATTCAAAGGTGTAGTAATCAACCCACTTCAGCTTCAGCCATTAAGAGGAGCCCACAATCTCCTTAATAACTTATTCACTAAAAGACAAAACAATAAGCCATTCAGTTCAGCTACTTCAGCTGTGATCAAACAGTCCCTTAAGTAGCAACATGGAATTGCAACAACGAAGATATGTGTTTCAGAATTAGACAATATAGCATCCTGGACCCTGGAATTACCATATCAACATGAGAGATTTGAATCTAAGTACAGTTTCAGGGACTTGAAGATCCTTTTTATTTCAACATTGAGGAAGACCAATTTAACTAGGCCTTCCATTGGGATGGCAGCAGATAATTTATTGTACAAAAGGGAAAAGACCGTTACAATATACAAACAATAGAAATATAGATGTTCCATGAGAATGACAGTCAGCTGTACAAAAACTATACATTATAAGTACAAATTGTACAATTAAAAACAAAGTTCTGTCAACAATCTTGAAACATGGCAAAATGTATTGTTCCATATTCCATAAGGATTGAATTTCACCACAAAAACAGAAGGTTTCCATCCTCTTTATTAATTTCTCAATATGATAGAACTCATCCTTGAAGATCTATTGATTACACTCTTTATAGAAGGATCAACAAACAGAAAAAGGTTAAATGGTAAGGGTAAGTCTTCATTTCCATATAAGTAAAATCTTGATTAAACTTAAAGGAAAAGTAGTTCAGAAGCTGAGCTCTAATTACATAAGTCTTATACAAGATTGCAGAATTTTGGTAAACTAAAAAAATAATAATCTTCAATTTAAACCAGCAAAGAAACTGATATTAGAAAAGACCTTAACCTGTTTGGCTATAACATAAGTGCCATTTTATATTAATGGGAGATAGTAGGGGTCATTACTTGGTGTAGCGGAAAAATCTCGGGCTGGCAAATGTGAAAACAGGGGTTCGAGTCTGAGAGCAGCCACTTTGTGCAAAAAATGCCAGAGGTTAGGGCTGTATCCAGTCTACCCCTCCCAAGACCCCATATAGCTGTGACAAACATTGGGAAATAACCTTTTATATTAATGGGAGATAATGGGTATTTGGAGTGGAGGTTGGAAAAAGTTAAGATGGAACATTGAGCTCTGCCAAATAGTCCATTTTTTACAGATCCTTAATTACCATGGTTCTAATGTTGTTGAGTCAAAGAAAGAAACTTTCGAGAATTTCATGGAGCATCCATAGTAATACAAACTCGGATATATAAACAGGAACTCAAACAATATTTTTTATTATTTTGTTAACTAATCTGGTTTATAATGGAGCAAAAACATTTTCAAGAAAAAACGATGTTTATTTAGCAATATAACTTCTTTTGGATTTTTCATATAAAAAGAATTCTGTATAATTAGTTTTGTATCAAGTTCTTTACTAGGCCAAAGAAAGAAAATAATTTTGTTGCTAAAAAAGAACATATTGCACTTCCAGGAGAGGATATACAAAGAAACCTCAATCCCTATTTTCAAAATAATAACTTTTAAAACAGGAAACTGAAGAAGATATTGGATTAAGTACTGTGAATACCACTTCAGCTTTTGCATTGGCAATACTTACGCTAGTACTGTGAATACCAGAATTCCCACTAAGATCAGGCATAACATCACTAGATACTGGAAGCACAGAGTAAAGGTCAAGTCCCGAGAAAATATTATAAAAGAAAAAAAAAAAAAAAGAAATGAAAGGTAAGGAGCTTAGAATGAAAAGAGATGAAGAAACTAATTCAAGGATACAATCCAGAGCAATATGGAGATATTCTTCAATGCGCCCATAAACCCAATTAAAGATCTGAAAAGGAAAGAAAGCGTTGTTCACTTTAATATAGATAAATGTTCATGCGTTTTTCCCCCTCTGTTGGGAGGGGAGTGCTCCAAAGAAAATCAGAGATGGATAGCCTACATGAGAAGAATGAGGCCGCCAAGACCTAGAACAGGGAAAGCGAGTGACTTTCGGCAGCCGTCTTGGTGAGTATTCATCCACACCCCAAAACAAATGACAGCTACTGCAATTAGCTGCACAGGAAACACATGGAGAGAACATCAACCTTCTTAAAATCAAAGGACTGTGATGCGCTTTTCTGTATTTTCATTTTAATAGCACGTAAAGAGAAGCGCATTTTTTGTTCTTTTTTGTAACGGGATAAAGAATAACTCACAGGAAAGTCTTGAACTAGAATAAGGAGGGGAAAATCCAATCAAAAAAAGGATAGAAAAACATTTCATTTTACAAAACTATAAAATGAAGAACAGCCACACAGTTGCATATTAGCAGCAAATCATCAATATGTCAAAAAACTAAATTAATACTCAAATATAAAATGAAAGAAGCAGATAGCATTAACATGAGACACTAAAATAAACGCAAATGAGAGAAAATCAAATAAAACAATAATTGGAATAAAAAGGCTAAGAAAGAAATGGCAAAAGAAACAAAACCCATTAAGGAGATAGTTGGAAACGATACTCGAAGAAGATGAAAGAAACAAAGGAGCTTGACGAAGGTTCCAGCAGGTAATACAACAGAGTTTTCACTTTAAGATGAAGAAGAGAAAGGAAGAAAGTAAAGCAAAAAGGGAGAAAAAAAAACAAACAGGAAAGGGAAGATAAGAAAAGGTTACCATGGTGAGGAAGTTGATCCATCTGATTACGAAGGTGCTTGTTCCGGAACCCATATTTCCTCTCTTTCCTTTCCTTCTTTTCCCTCTTAAGCTTCCACAGAAAATTAAAAAAAATAATAATAAAAATAAAAACACAAGAATACGCAGAGAGGAGAGAGAGACAACTCTATGCAAGATTGTAAAGCACAATGTCGGATTTTCTGCCAGTGTACATGATTTAAATTTAAAAGGTAGTAATATTCTGAAGTGGCACTTATACTGCAAGAAAAAGGAACAATAAGGACTTGTGTGGGGATGAAGTTCCAGGAAAAGTCAAGAAACAAATAACATGAGTCTCACCACTCACCTCACTCCATTAATCAACGAAGAGAAACAGAAGTAAGCAGAAGAGTTAAACTGGTCAATAATCAGTTAAATCTGATCACTATATCCAGATATTCAATACAGGATTAGTAGTACGGCTATTTGTTTTTGAGCAGCTGGAAACTGGAGAGGAATAGGGGACAAGAATCAAGAGTCAAAGACTTAAGAGTGGAAGTATAATAACGTAGACCAAGCAGCAAGGTACACCAATAATAGCTGTCGTTTGATGCTTGGCAAACACGATCGATATAAGCTACAATTAGAATTTTAAGTGGGGCAGGCCAACTATAAATAAAATATTTGTAAGAAGCTATTAAAACAAGAATCACCCCAAATTTCAGAAAGATACAGGCCCCAATTTAGGGTAATACACTCTCACTCTAGGGTAGGGTAGAGGGGATGACCGGATGATGACATACAATGATACAAGATAAGGAATGCAAACGGAAAATATGTTAAGGATGTCGGAGATATCCGAATCTAATCCTATCCAATTTAATTTCTGAAAAAAATAATAAATTATTAAAAGAAAAAGTATAACAATTTATATAAAAAACAAAAAAATACAAGTATTTTCATCATGCATATCAAGGGTTTTAAAATTGAACCAGACATTCAGATACGGTTCCTAGGTTAAACGGTCTAATTGTTCGAACCGAATAGATAACTCATTCTAACAAAAGAAATAATAATAATAATAATAATAATAATAATAATAATAATAATAATAATAATAATAATAATAACAATAAATGCTCAAAAGCTGTTAGACAGTTCGAACGGTTCGACCGCCTGGGTCAGCGATTTGCTGACCAAATCAATGATTTTTGTCCAAAAAGATGATTCTAGGGTGACCGATTCCCAGTTTTTCCAGTCTGATCGTCCAGTCCAGTCTAGTTTTGAAAACCATGATGTATATATACATGCCTTTTATTATAAAAAAAATTACAAAGATGGCAAGATGCAATATAAATAAATATATTACAAAAATACAATATAATATATAGGTTGGATCAAATCGGTTAGGGGTGATCCAAATTCGATCTGATTTTCATTTGGATCATCCAATTTGATCCAAAAATTTGACCTGGAGGGTTTGAATCTTACAAAAATAGGATCAGATTCAGACCATGATCTGGTCCATTTGCACCCCTAATACAAGATCATACAACTAGGGGTGCAAGTCTAGTGGGTTGGGCTGTGTTTATAGTCAACTAAGCCCAACCTTAAGATTTGGGCTTAAGGCCGAAGCCTAGACCAAGTGTAGGGTCAAGTCCAATCATCCCAACCTGAGCCCAACCCGTATTTTAATTTGATGCACTTGGGTTGGACTCAAGCCTGGATCAAGCTCAGGTTAATCAATGATCCCACTCTAAAATTATACATATATGTATGCATTTATGCAATTTTTTTTTTTGAAGTAAACTATAAAACTTTCCATTACTAAGGCCAAAGCACAGAAAAGAGATAAAAAATAAGCAGAACAAACAAAGAATTGAAAAAAATAAATAAACAACAGAGTAGCAAAAAAAACCACCACGCCACTACAAAACAGGTATGAAAAACAAAAAAGAAAAAACAACAAAAAACAACCTAGTCAACTAAAGACTAGGACATTGATTGTTTCTTCTCCTCTTGCACTAACTGCTGAAGCTAATTCGGGCAATCACCAACAAAGACACCTTGATCTGTTAAACCTTTACGAGCTAAGGCACGGGCCACTCCATTACTGGATCTCCTAGTGTAAGAAATTGAGACCCTGGTTTTTTTTTATCAATTTTGCAATATCTTTAAACAAAAAGAAGGCCTCAACACTGGCATCCAATGACCTAGCATTGACGCTCAATATCAAGCTAAGGCAGTCTAATTCAACTTTCCGAACAAAAAAAAATGGGAGTAGTGTCTTTCCTCATCAAGATCATCTCCATCGGGTCATTTATCATCCTGTTCAACAACATAATATCATTAGCTAAAATACTTGCAGCACAACATATGAAATGAAGGTCTTCTAACACATGATCAAAATTGAGAAAAAAATTGATGCTTTGCCAAATGTTCCTAGCATGCTCACATAAACAGATGACACGGATAGCTAATTCTTCTTTTTTCTTGCAAATTGGGCAAAGAACACTATTCACCAAACCCCACCTAGCTCTAGCATCATTTACTACAATAGCTTCATTCAAAGCTCTCCACACAAAGGTTTTAACTTTAGGTTCCACCTAGATGGCTGCTCCACATTACTTTATTATTACCTGGAGCCACTGCATAAGAACAAAAGCCTTCTTGTAAAGCCTTTGCTAGGAAGTATGCAGATCTAGCTGAGAAGGCACCTTTACTATTAGGAAACCATAACAACCTATCTGACCATCCACATCTGCTAGAGAAATGCTAAGAATGTGATCTACAAAACCATCAGGGATAGTACTTCTAATAACATCCTCCCTCCAGCTTTTGCTCTCATGGTCAATAAAATTAAATACCATCCCCTGAGAAAGTTGGTATGGTCTAGGGCCCATTATTCTACCCCCTTTAACCGAGGGGATCCATGGGTCCTCCCAAATGAAGATCACCTGCCCCTCATTCACTCCCCAACAAAACCCTTTTTAGAAAACCTCCCTCCTTGCAATGACACTTCTCCATTCCCAAGATCCAAATTTTATAATCATCTCTTACAAAATTCTTTCATTTGACATACTTGGCCTTCATAAGTTGAGCCCATAGAGAATCCTCATTATTAACTATCCTCCAATCAAGTTTGGCAAGAAGAGACAAGTTATGATAGTGAGGGTCCCTAAATCCTAAGCATCCATTGAATTTATTCTTCCAAACTTGATTCAAATTCAACCAGTACACTTTATTACCTCTCGATTGGGTTTTGCCCCACCAGAACTATCTATGAAGTTTTGAGAGCCTATCACAAATATTCTTTAGAACCAAAATGCAGGACATGACATACGCAAGGATAGCTGCAATTACTGCCTTGAGAAGGGTCTTTACCAATAGGGGTTAGGAAGAGACTAAACCAAGATGGTGTTTTGTCTTGAACCTTCTCAACAGCATTAGAAAAATCCTCTACCTTCAAGCTACCAACCTCTGAGGCAAGACCTAAGTAATTTGAGGGTTTTGAGACCAACTGAAAGTGAAGACCTCTAGCCACAATGCTTTTAAGTCTTAGATTCATCTTTTTACTAAAATAAGTTTATGATTTATCAAAGTTCACCTACTAGCCCGAAACTGCCCCATATTCTTTGATTGCTTCCACCAACATGGCTCCTTCTTGAAGAGAAGCCTTTGTAAAGAAGTAGTTATCATCTACACAAAAAAAAAAAACAAGTGGGAGATGGTAGGATATTGATGGGTTAGTCTAATGCCAGAAAATAAACCTGTAGAAACTAAAAACTAAATCTTTTTAGAGAACACTTCAGAGCATAGAAGGAATAGGTAAGAC